ATAGTATTAATGTAATTAAGGAATTATAAAAAAATTAAGATGTTTTAATAATTAAAATATTAAAAATAACACTTCTAATAAAAAATTTACGTTAATATCTTTAATAAATAATAAAAATTTATTAAAAATACTTAAATAATTTTATAAATAATTCTAATATTTTAAGTAATTAGAATGATACGATTTGTTTTTCTTTTTCATTACTTAATCATTTAATTTAATTATCAGTCTCCATGCTCTGACTTAATTACTTTCATCCTAAATTAATGCGAATGGATTCTCACACTTGAATTTAATGATAGTGAACTTTAATTAAATGCGAATCACTTTTTATAGATTAAGTTTTCAAACTGCATTGACAACATATCCCCTCCCCAAATTGCCCTATTCAAATCATCTTCTAAAAATTACTTATCTGAATCTTTATTTGGTTAATATGTATTAATTTTTTTGTTAAAAAATTATTTAATATCAATGATTTATTAATTTAAATGAAAATAACTTATCTTTTTAAAATAAATTATTGATAAAAAAAATAAAAAAAGACGATGAAAAAGTTTTTTTTAATAAAATTTAACGTGATTTAATTTTAAATTAATTAATATTTAATATAATTAAAAAAATATTAAAAAATTAATATTAAAAAAAAATCATTTAATTTAACTATCGTATTTGTCTAATATTCTTAAACTACGTAACTCCGTGTCTCAGCATCGGACAAATCTTTCTCTCTCTTTACATTACCATCAAACAATCTTTCTATCTTTTCTCTCACTCCCTCAACGCCCACGCGATCTATTGGGAGGGTCCCAATCTTTTCTTTTTTTCTTTTTCTTTGTTCAAAAAGTCAAGACCAATCCTTGAAATTTCAAAGATTTCTAGGGTTCCCATTTTCAATTCTTAGCTGACGACGTAGAATTCCACGATTTAAGATGACTTCGTTTTCTGTTGATTCAGTCAACCTTCCTGCTGCTTCAGATTTCACTCCTCCAAATATGTGAAGTAAGTTTTTTTTTTTTTTTTAATGTAATTTCCACTAATTTTATGAAGTCATTGGTCGTTACATAATTCCGGTATTCGTTACTGGTTTCCATATTTT